ACAACAAACACATTTCAGTCAATGTAACACAAAACAATTCTGCGTCCTCCGACTGTTCAATGTAGGACATTCAACACAATATAAACCCGAGACACACGTTCCATGTTTTGTTTTTTTCTAGGGCTAACATTTTTGATAATTGTTGACCCACACTGTTTTCTACATTCAAAACTCTCAGTTTATTTTTTGGATTGACAGTTTATGATAACAAAATCAAGGAATGCCAAAATTAGACTTGTAGATTACCAGTTACTAAATAAAATAAAAAAAAAGATACCATAAACATGTAACGTTAGTACGACATGATGGATCACACATACTTGAACTCTCAAAAAGAGAGAACCTGTAAATTTCAGGGATTGGACCATAGATACCATTGTTTATGTTGTTCAAACAAGGACATTAGAAAAAAATATCTAATGTCGTTGATTTAAACTACATGTATTAATACGTCATTTGTTTTCACATTGCACATTGGCTGTGAGTTTAGGCTTACAATTGTATCCGTGGGGTTGCACCAGTGCATCGCGGGAAGCCGGAGCCGCGGTTTAAAGCGTCGTGTTGCACGTTTCATATAAACAAACGTTGCATGGGACCCATATCGAACACGACCGTCGTGGCACTCTAAACATTATTAGAATTACTAGTAATTCAAATACAATTAATATACGAGAATATGCGCGAAATACGTCACCACTTTCCATTAACGACACATATGGAAATTATGTTATGTAATACTAGTAGTCTGCAAGACACATGGGAAAATGTACACCTTTTACTGTCCAGCGGAAGCACACGTACAAATGAACAGGTGCGTTTAATGGTCCCCATTTCCTCTTGTCCTGTACATTTCCAAATGTCTGCAACTCATGTCAGTACAGTATTGTTGTCATTTTATTGTGTTTTAGAAAAAAGTATATACTGCGATCGCTTCAAAATTACTGTCCATTAATACTGGGTACAATACACTTCCGCGGCTACTTCTTTTTCATGCGCTGCCAACCAGAAAATGACAATTATGTTGTTTTCAAAGTGTTGTTTATACTTTCAGGGCAATAAAGGCATTCCTTTCGTCTGTATACATGTTTATTAATTTTACAATTCAAACTGAATTGAGAGCTTTCTATTGGCCGATTGAATACATTTGGAACGTTGAATCCATTGGAATTTATAAATATGAAGGGAATAACTTTGTTGCGCATAGAGTATTGCATTTTTAATTGATAAAAACATAATAAAATACAATATTATCTATAAGATGGAAACAACACGGTACACGTGCATTTCAATACATTTATACCAATCTCCCAATATACCATAGTACACCTTATAGAAATACTGTAAAACATGTTTAAATAGCTACAGGCCATTTTAGCGAATTTGACTCCATGCATGAATTAACTGAATTAACTGAACTGAATTTAGCTAAAGTACCAACAATCTTATTGTGATAATATATTTTATTTTAAATTAGCGACATCCTGAATTAGCGAAATTACAGATTAGCTAAATTAGCTAAAAAGTCATGTTTTACAGTATATAAATAGAGGTGCCCAGCAGAACATATATTACATGTTACCATGTTGAAAGGCCGTGTATTGTCATCTCATTGCACATTATCTTGGATGTGTGTGTACCAGTTAGCAGCTTATTTAAATCGTGATCCAACACGCATAATTTGGGCTAGATGGGAATGAATATTTGACAAAATGACCCACAGCCTGGACCAAATAGGTAACGCATCAAACCTGACTGACCATACCACTCTGGAAATTGAACTACCAACTTGAAGAATATCAGAATTATTGCATAATCGTAGGCGTATTTTCCCTAACTTCGACCCTTTGTGTGAATGCCGATGCCATAGACTGCCCCCACGTTTCTCAGGCGAGTTTACTTGTCACTGCACCGATAATGCCCCACCGAGCGCGAGGTCAGGTGTGGGTGGGGATTGGGATCTTAGTCTAGGCATTGATTCGGATAATTCACACGAACACCGTGACTATTTGAAGATCATGACCCATGATAGCACAGTACATACACATTTGCACAGTTTATGTGAAATATTTAATTGAATAAATATGCCTTGATTTTCTTATATTTTGTGAATCTTAGTTCACAATAGAATGGAACGTTGTGCGCATGCCTGGCCTGGGGCTTTTTGTTGAAATGTTACATCTTCGAGTCAACACATGCCCCCGCATCGTGACAACAATGTAGCCACACCGTGTGAATAAAGCACACTTTGTCCTGTGCCATTTACAGCCTCATAGAAAACAGTATTAATAGGTAACCGTGCAAAATATACTAGCCAAGTGCATCCAGCCGGGTATCACGTGACACACCCTATAGAGAAACCACGATTATGTCATGTAATTGGAATCCCACCATTCTACTTACACCTCACAATGGCATTCCGTGACCCAGTTTAATAACTAGGCGAACTCATACTGATTATACCCAGAAATGAAATACTAGACTCACTGTGAGTCAACGGACATTAGAGACCACCATGCTACAGGACATTTCACAGAACCAACTCTGCGCATCAGTCGCGACACATATCACGTCTGACAGATACTTGTCATATATCTTAAAATACGAGTTTGAATATAGGTTTAAAACACAAAAAAATATTTATCATGTTGTTGTTCCATTAAAATTGTCATGACAATGATTTCGATACTCTCCAGACGTTTTCAGGTTTGCAAGACGTCTAAATGAATAAAATTCCCGAGGCTACAACACGTAAGGATTTGTTGCTTTCAGAAATCTTCCACAGTTATAGCCGCCACCAATATCACCTAACCCACGTCCCACCCACTTGTTGCTTGGAGAAAACAGTGTATTTAGACAAAGTGAAACTAAAACATTCCGATTGCCATTGTATCAGAAGGGAAGGAATGTTTAATACTTCGTATAAGCACGTATTATTGTTGTCACTCCATTTCAATTGTGATATTAGACTAAAAAAACGTGTTTCTGACTAGTTGAAACGCCGTGTGGCGGTTTTCTGTGGAATTACTAATGGCTTTTCTAAGTTAGTAACAGAGCTGCACACGTTGGTAAGAGTACCAAATCAATGACAAGAGATAAATGCGTTATTAATAATTCTAGCATTTTTTCTCAGTAATAAATCTTGACGTTTGTCATTATTTCAAAAAACTATTTCAATAGACTATTAACGTAGTTTAATTTGTTATGCTTTCCACTTTGTTTAGGGATTATATATTAACAAATACCTCATACCAGCGCTACAATTTATGTTTTTAAATTAAGAGTTAGAATCAAGATGGAGTGCGAAAGTGGATGTTGACTTTTCATTAAGTTGTATGTCGTAGAATACCCCAGACCATTCGTCCCGGTGTTATCGCTATCGCCACACACCGGGACGAATGGTCTGGGGTAGTCGTAGAATGAAGTCGCCCTCACCGGCAAGTGACGCTGGTCGAGAGAGGGCGCAGTAACTAAACATACCACAAGTGTCACCGCAAGCTTAATGATGCAGTTAATACTAGTACTAGTATGTCAACGGATGTCACGAAATGCAAAACAATCAATAAATAAGCGATAAGTTAACTGCCGGAAATACATAGTAATGTACATAGTCAGCTAACTTATTCCATTATCTAAACACACACCAAATGTATATTGTGATGAATTAATAATTCAGTTTAGCTGAAAACCAGTTTTGGTTTGACACATGTAAATTATTTTTCACCAAGTGAAAAATTACATGCTTATCGGCAAAAGTAAATCTCATGTGCAAATCATTTGCATAGTAAGGCAAAAAAAAAAAAAATTAAAAAAGTGAAACAAAATTTCAGTGTAATGGAATTTGAAAAAAATAATAAATATTATGTACTTTGTAAAGAACAAAAATGTTTTATGAAATTTACAAAATTCAATTTCACTGGCTGACCCTGTGACCTGTATAATTATAACACTTGTTAAAGAGTCATCACTTTCAAATTTTGCGTCAACGAGAAAGTACCTGACATACATGCATTGTACAAGTACCTTTGGAGAACAAAATAGTGTAATTTAGTGATTCCTAAACTGACCAGAATTTTCTCAACAAATCATGTTATGAGCTCCCAACCGATATATCAGGTAAAAAATATTCAAATCACAACCCTAAACTGTTGTCTCTTCTCCTGGAACATTTATGTGCCCGGTTTTGTTGAAATTCAATGAGTGGCACTGGAAACATCTCAGAACACTTAAAATTATGCAAATTAGGTAATTAATATGCATGAATTTTAACCCTAAACTGATGACAGGTTTCATTGAAATCTGATGACTGGTTATTAAATGAGGTTCTTGAGATACAAGTGGAACATGCACAAAAAAGCCATAAACTTTGTCCTCACAAATGCCCCTTAAATCAATATGAGAACTACTAGCAGAGAAAATGACACAATCAGACTTAAAATCAAACTTTAATTGCAGTAATGGGTCTAGAACAGAGAAGTAAAAATATATAAATAAAATTTTACAGAGTGCATTAAAACTAGCATGCCATTCCATTAATGCTTAGCTATGGTAATACCCCATTACTAATTCAGATTTATGCAAATTTCACACACTCTATGTAATGTCATAAGCATGTCTCAAGAAATTAATACTCTATGTTCCTAGGTTAGCTCACTCCATGATGAGATATTACTAGCATCATACCTAGGCATAGTTTATGGCATTTTGAATCAACCAATCAGATTTACAGTTAATAGTTGAGTGTGATGAGATATTACAAGCATTATACCTAGGCATAGTTGATGGAATTTCAATGAAATTTACAGTCCATAGCTGACTGTGATGAGATATTATTAGCATCATACCTAGGCATAGTTGATGGCATTTTGAATCAACCAATCAGATTTACAGTTAATAGTTGAGTGTGATGAGATATTACAAGCATTGTACCTAGGCATAGTTGATGGAATTTCAATGAAATTTACAGTCCATAGCTGACTGTGATGAGATATTATTAGCATCATACCTAGACATAGTTGATGGCATTTTGAATCAACCAATCAGATTTACAGTTAATAGTTGAGTGTGATGAGATATTACAAGCATTGTACCTAGGCATAGTTGATGGAATTTCAATGAAATTTACAGTCCATAGCTGACTGTGATGAGATATTACTAGCATCATACCTAGGCATAGTTGATGGCATTTTGAATCAACTAATAAAATTTACAGATGACATTATAGCAATGTATGTAATGGAAGACACATGTAGCAAGTGATTGCTGCATCAGGTCTAGACTCAACACCTAAACAATAAATAATATTTGTGTGGATAATAATTAGATTATCTATTGATCATGTACTGGTAAATAATTTTTAAAATGTCTGCTATCACAGCAATGGCCGCCACACACACCGCTACAGTTAACCAATATCTTGGCACTCGACTTGAATGCTCTCCAGTTGCAATCTGTAAAAATAAAACAAAAATAATAGTAATGTTATCTTTACCATGCTGTATTTACTTTTTTTTTGGAAGCATATCTCCAACAGAAATGCATCAAACCCAACAGTTGCATTCATTGCAAAACGAATCATTGAAATATGACTTATTTGGCCAGACATTCCTTTGTTATTTATGAAAGCACGAGTTACTAAGAAAATATAATACAGTATGCTAATTTGATTTTGATAAAAATATGAATTCTTGAACAGTAACTATTATACCTTTGCATTCAATTCACATGACAATATAATAACAGAGTTTATAATTAATTTGTCGATTTGGCAAAATAATTATTAATTTTTTTTTTTTTTTTTACATTTTTCACAGACAGAATTTTTTTAATCACATTATCAAACAAACTTGTTACCATAGAAATAGTAAATTGTTCAAATTTTGCGGATCTTTGACTTGTTTTGTTCATTGTCATGAAGAATATCTGATAATTTCTTGTAAGATGGTACTGTAAAATGACTAATTTTCACTGGGTTTAAATTTCACTGATTTACCAATTCAGGCATATTAAGTGGGTTTTAAAGTGCCTGTGAAATGGCTGCTATTTTCACGCCTAAAATTATCCATTGATACATATTAATTTTTATGTTTCTAAGCATGAATTATTTTTTAAAAGTGAAAAAATGTGTTTTAAACTCAATCTACGGCAACTTTATTTTTGTGTATTTTAAAACGAGGCTCCTCATTAGCTTCTCATTTGCATACAGAAATTCCCCTTGTGACGTCAGAAGGGGAAGTCGCATGGCAGCTTCCATTGTCGATACATGTAAATAAGGCAAATTTCTTCTGCAGTTTTCTAGTCTTTGACTAAATTTTCACTTATGTACTTGTTCGTCAAGGAGAAATGGACCATAATGAACACATAGTATCAATTTTTGTTGCATGGGGTTGAGTTAGATGCGATATATGTCCGTTCTGGTGTAGTTGGTCACCGTGATCGTCACCGACACCGGCGCACGTTTGTACACTGTCCTGGACACAATCGTTATTTAGCAGGTTACTAGGCACGTCACTACACTGTTTTATTTCATCGATCGTCTGAGTAAAACTTTCAAAATTAAAATAAAAGAGAACATATTTTGACATTTTAAACATTAGACTATAGTGATCACTATAAAATAATTAAAAAAAATGACAAATCACAGTTACTAAATAAATGGCAGCCGCGTGGATATAAATTGAAATTTTGTTGAAATAGGTGAACGCATCGGGTCACGACGAAGGCAAGTGCATTAAAAGCGGCGTTTAATTGGATAACAAAAATAATCGAGATCGACACAGATACAGATAAATTCAGAGTGGATTTGAGTTTAATAGCGTGATCCATGGCGCAATTGTCATAATTATAACATCATATTAAAACTTTATTTGGTGGAAACACATTGACCAAGCCCGGATTCTTATTTTATAAATTATTACGCAGATCAAGCTGCAAGCATGGAGGTAAAAAAAGAACAGAGGTGTGAATTCAACATTCAACACCAACCACCAAATTCAGAAACTTTTTAGTCTTCGAAAATGAAAACAATTAGCAGTGTGTAAGGGCTGTGTAATTTCCTGATTGTCTGACGCTTCGTTTTCGTGTCACTGTCAAAATTATTGCTACCTTTTACTTAACAGGGACTAAATTGTCTCTATAAAACGATAATCACGATCGCAAAAAAAGTCAACTCATTTGAAACACATGCCGGACGTCTCTCTCTCTTCTGAAATCCGCCAGGTTTATGTTGTCGGCGTTTCTCTTTAAACCTAGTTTTTTTCATGGACGAGGACAGTTTTTCCAAAAAAAGGAATCTGAGGTTAAGTGGCTTTCGTCCAATGATGTCGCACCTTCGGATCGATTAGAAACGTGTGAATACTTACACTATGACTATACGTTTCACTGCAAATGCCCACAACACAACATCTAAAAACTCTCTCAAAAAAAGAAAATAGACAAAAAAAAAAAGAAAAAAAAAACGCCGACTGAAAAATGTATATCGTTTAAAAGTATACTGAATGACCAGTGTTACGGCTCAGGGGTATGACTTCCTCTCACATTTTGGCATTTGGTGGCGCACTTTCGGCGAGAGTCGGAAATCCGGAAACAGTCGACCGTTTCAGGATAGGTGGGCGTGGCTACAACACGAGAAATATCCGAAATTTACTTGGATACGAGTAATCATTTTCAGCAAAAAAATCATTAACTGCCCATTTCAGTGGGACACAGATCTAAAATGGGAAACGTGAGGGTGTGCATTGCACAGGCACTTTAAATTATATCATTTAGATAATGTATTCTATGCTAAATTTTTCATATTCACTGGGTTTTAATTTAGCGTATTTTCCAGTCAGCGAAATAAAAACCCAGTGAAGATTTACCCCTTTTACAGAATGCTACTATAAATGAAAAAAATAAATTGAAGTATTACGAAACCACAATAAGTAAATGAGCAAACAAAAAGAGATGGAATCTGAAATGGTTTCCATGGCAACAGTGACTGAGATTTCTCTATGGCAATAAGCCTTACACTGGGGGTAATTTCCAATTAATGATTTGAAATCTCTAAAACTGAGATTTAATTTGTGCGGATAACTGTTTTTTTCCGTCAGAGTTTCAAACATCTAGTCACAGGAAAAAGTCATGTATCCAAAATTTTTTTGTAGCATTCGTCCATTTAATGACTCACTATGGGCGATTGTTGGACATTGCATATCTAATGAAAGTTGTTTATTTCTCATAATGGAATATTGAACTCCAATTTATCTGTATTGTTGAAATACTAGAGAAACATGCATACCTGTTGATTAGCACCTGAGACACAGCCCTTTGGCAATGGCACAGCAATGGATGGAGTGACCGTCTCCTCATCTTTCAATATGTCACCTATGAGATAATGTTTGCCCGTGGATGTAATTTTCACTTTAATCATTTTTCCAAGTAAATTCTCTTCTTTCGGGACTAATACCTAAAACAAATAAGTGACTATTAATTTTTTAGATGCTGTAAATCTGCTGCCACTATTTCACTTTACACAAGATTGATGTAATTTCTTATTATTTGTGTTTCTGTGAACAATGACAACCATTTGAATGTCAAAAGGTCAACCATTTCAACATGGTTAACACTGTATATAAAGCATAGATTGTATAATTTACTCTGAGACAACATTCCTATGTGCATGTGATAAGAGTATTTTGAAGTAATGTATTTTTTTGAATATTTTATGAATAAAAATTATAAAAGAAAAAACAGTGAATGCATGCATATGCACTTTTTTATACGACCCATGTTTCAGTTGGCAGCGGATGGAAATACAGAAAACTTTATTTTCATACTTGATCGTAAAACTTGTTATGTGCTACATAAAATCTGCCGTCATGTGAATCTTCTGTCACCAGTACATGCTGCTCTTCACCAACTTTGTGATCATATGGTCTGTAGTCTTGAAATAACTGGGATAATTTTTTTGTTCTTTTTTTCACCTGAAATGGTAAAATATGTTTCTTATTATCCAGGTTACAAATGTTCTGTTGGCCCTGAACATGCATGGTTTTATAACACTGAAAACATGCTAATGTTCTGTTGGCCCTGAACATGCATAGTTTTATAACACTGAAAGACATGTTAATGTTCTGTTAGCCCTGAACATGCATAGTTTTATAACACTGAAAGACATGTTAATGTTCTGTTGGCCCCTGAACATGCATAGTTTTATAACACTGAAAGACATGTTAATGTTCTGTTAGCCCTGAACATGCATAGTTTTATAACACTGAAAGACATGTTAATGTTCTGTTGGCCCTGAACATGCATAGTTTTATAACACTGAAAGACATGTTAATGTTCTGTTGGCTCTGAACATGCATGGTTTTATAACATTGAAAATGTGTTAATGTTCTGTTGGCCCTGAACATGCATAGTTTTATAACACTGAAAGACATGTTAACATTCTGTTGGCCCTGAACATGCATAGTTTTATAACACTGAAAGACATGTTAATGTTCTGTTGGCCCTGAACATGCATGGTTTTAAAACACTGAAAACATGCTAATGTTCTATTGGCCCTGAATATGCTTGGTTTTATAACACTGAAAACATGCCAATGTTGTGTTGGCTCTGAACATGCATATTCTTAGATTTTGACTTCTTACATTAGTTTCTAATCTGGAAAAATCAACTCATCTCACCTCTCTTGTTGGGACACGTGTCATTTTTGCTGACGGAGTTCCTGGCCTTGGAAAATATTGATTAATAAATAAGCTAGGAAACTTGTACTCTTCTACTAGCTGCATTGTCTCATCAAAATCCTGTGAGATAATAACACGACATTTAACGATGTTAAAAATATAACTGCAGTGAAATCTATGTGTTTATTCAGAGCAAAGGTACTATAATGATGCAATAGAATTCGCCGGCCCAATTTCAACAGTACATACCTCGTCAGTTTCTGTGGGAAAACCACATATAATATCTGTTGCTATGGTGACACCAGGAACTCTGTAATAAATATATCCACAATTAATACAAAAAAAGACTGCACAGACAGTTCTCAAGACAATGACAGAGTTCACCATTGGGAGAACTCTTACTAGTTGCTCCCACAGGCTAATTACAAACTCATTCTCAGATTTACAGCTTTGTGATAGGCTTTGTGTTTTACCAAAAATATTTGCCAAAAATATAGAATTGAAGATATTGTCACGTATGAACAAATCTGACATAGGTCTACCCAAGGTACCTACATACAAAGTATCAAAACCATTGAGCATGTAGTTTTCAAAAAGAAGTCAAAAATAGACAACAACACACAATCAACTTATGAACAGCTCACCCTGTCATCTTCGATAACAGTGGAACAAACTAACTTTGTTTAACAATATCAGAAGATTGTTATTGTGAACCTATTTAGTATAGCATTTACAACAAGATCTTGTAACTTTAAATAGAACTAGCATTTAATAAGTGGAAACTGATTGTTTTTCTTGCCAAAGGCAGCCATATGGTCATGTGACTCATGAGTTGTTGTGAACTTGCATCATAGTGATTCAGTTAAGAAAACAACTTCAGAAAGCTTCAGAAATACTGGATGTATAAACAAAAAACAAAACACCAAACTTGAGTGAAATTTGACGACTTGGTATTTAAAATCAAAATAATACACTACGTAATAGAACTGACAAAGCTAGGAAATGAAATACAAATTCATTGTTACTGTGATACACATGTTTTTACTTTAAGAACTAACAAAAACAGGGGGCTCTCGAGAGACGTGTTATGTAATGTTTTTTAAGATACTGACCTCTTTTTAAGAAAATTACAAACATGTTTAAAATCGTCAACACAGTACTCTCGTTTCATGTCCATCAATACGCTGTCTGATCCTGATTGGACAGGCACATGTAAAAACGAATAAACTCTCGGGTGCTTTAAAATCTTGGAAATTTCCTATAGACAGACACACATGTACATATGAGTTCAGTTAACAAAAAACAGAGGATAAGTCAAGAGCGAGTAAAAATTCAAGTGAACATTCACTGAAAACCTCACTGTAATCTCATGACGTCTGTGCATATTACACATGGCATGAATATTCCTGAAAAAATTCCTCAAAAAATTATTGCAAATTTTGTTATTTTCTGAATATAAATTGGAAAGAGCTAATTACGAATTATTTCTCCAGCATCCTAGCAAAACGTAATAATATCCTAAAGAATTAAACATATCCAATTTTCATTGGGTAGATACTAGTATACCGGTATTCAATACCAGTAATAAAATGATTTTTCAGATAAGGCAGGAAAAGCCTCTAATGTAAGCTTTCATGACAGCAATATTTACAAATTTTATACAGTCACTGACTAAAACCAATGTTGTATATGACATAATACTCAATACTCAGAAGATAAGTTTTTGAATTGCTTGAGAACCCAGAGTAATTACTGACATTTTTTTTCGCTATAATTTATTTGGCAGTTTATTATTTAGTAGTATGCATGTGATGCACTTGAACACAAATAAATCATATTTAGAGAATCTGAGCTTATGTTGATAATGACAATATCGTAGTTCGTAAATTTCACCACTACTGTAAAATCTGTATTAGAAACCGCGGCTTCTATTAAAATGGTACAATGCGACAGAGGGAATGCGGCTTCTATTAGAGCATCTACACATATGAGAAATGATGAATTTTTGCTTCTCAAACATTCAAAAAGAATGGGTGCGACTTCTATTAGGGATGCGGCTTCTAATACAGATTTTACGGTAATTATATTTGATTAATAATCAATTTAGATGAACAAAAGTAAACAAAAACTAGAATAGTTACGTATTGATAACGGAATCACTGAAATGACTAAAATTAGTTCCTGGGAAATGTTTTTTGTTTCATTTACACAAATTTTTGTCATTTGGACCAATTAGACACTAAAAATCATTCCATGGTTATGACAGTTCTATTTTTGTGTGAAAAACACTATTGTTCAAGTGCATGAGAAATATTATCCAAGATGGCCGATTAATTACATATCTGAGACAACATGACCTAGATGTTCCATACTCACCTCTAAATGTTCAAGTATATACGGTGGATTTGTCATTCCTATTCTCATCATACATCCATCAGGAATGACCTCTACAAGTTGCCATAGTAACTCCACTATTGTAACACCTATGTCTTTACCATAGGCACCAGTATCCTCACTAGTTAACCACAACTCACATACACCCTCTAGTGGTCATGGAAAGAAATATCATTATTTGGTATTTTACATTAAAATAAACACTATGTAAATATAAGAAAATGTTAGATGAAGATGTGAACTATGTAACTGCAATCCAAAAACAAGTCATGAATGGCACAGTTCCTGTTATCAAATTTAAGATACATAGTTTTGTTTATAGTAATATAGTTTGAACATAAACATGTCAGAGATATGAATCCAGAAGCTGATTTTTTAACATTAAAATGATTGACATTCAGACACTTTGTATCTTGGTCACCGGTTGGCCATTTTTAATCTGATCCGAAAAAGGACTTGTATCAAAATCCCATAATGTCCAATATAAGGTTGAACGAAATGGTACATTTTGATGATTTTTCAGCTCAAAAATGGCCACCATTCGACCATTTTTAAACGGTTTGTCAAACCAATACATCTGTATATCTATGACATGATGTATGATGAATATATAAAATTTGAACATAATCAGTCAAAGCTTGTCTAGAAGCACATTCATTAAAACAAAATGGCCATTTTGAATCCGATCTGAAAAAAACAAAATGATGTGCATTAAGGTCCATGGACGCACACACAGAGGTCAATCCTTAAGTTTGCATTTTTGAACGTCGTCTGAACGGGGGACTAACAAAAAATAGTTTACCTTCGAATGATTGCTTGGCTCGTGCCACCAATTCACTTGGTTGATAACTACCTAGCTCACCTCTGGCATATTTCGTTTTACAGTAAGTACATGCATTTAAACAGCTGTGAAGTAAAACAAAACAAACCATTAAAATGTGCTGAACAAAAACAAAAAAGCACATTGCAAAATAATTCTTCTGGTCTTCTGGTTTTCCAGATATTTGGAGAAATGCAAATAAAGAGCTTTCAACTGGAGAAAAGCATTTTGCTATAACAGTAAACCAAAAGTAATTTCACTGATTTTGTAAATCAGAATAAGTTTATTTATATTTTCACATTGATAAGATATTACAACTGTAAACTGTGATATCGAAAAACATGACTTTGTTAAAATTTAACCCGAGAAAATATGACCTATGACCCCCACAAACTATGACTTGTGTAACCTTTGAACCGCACAACCTAAGACTATAAAAACTTTGGGACTTACCCGGTATTTATAGCAATAATTTCAATAAGTGGATTTTTTCTAATTTTTGGAAGATTCAAAGGAGCGCCACCAATTTTCTTACCATCTTTCTTTTTTTGACCAAATAACCTTACAGTATGGCCTGAAAAAACAAACAACATTATTATGATGTTGAATGACTTTCAAATTTTATTCATTAGTCCAGAAAACACTCTTCTAGTATTTCAAACATGCAAAATTCAATATGAAGAAGCCTAACCCCTAAAGGTCACACAGCCTGGAATTTCTGGGGGTATATTACAGCCTGGAATTTCTGGGGGTATATTACAGCCTGGAATTTCTGGGGGTATATTACAGCAATAATCTCCAACATTCTTCCCATAATAAAATGTTTCTGAATTTCAATGACAGCTGCTTGTACTTTTGAGGGAAAATATTTGATGAATTCTCAATGATAAAGAATTTGTATTCTCAGAAAGTACTTAAAATACTTTATTTTCACTTGGAATTAATTTTCGCTGAAGGAATGATTCAGTGAAAATAAAATCCAGCGAATATAACTTTTTTTCCAATAATTTACATTCAACTTGTCAAAAATCAGTGAAAATAAATTCCTTACAAAACACCAAAAAAGTCTTTTCAGCGAAAATTAACTCCAGGCAAGTATTTTACAGTACCAGGAGGTGTGACTTTTGAGAGGTATTACATTACCTTTGAATGTTTCCTCTACAACTTCTACAATTCGATCAATCTGTTGGACACCGACGACACTGACGCCATTGATATAATCAAGTTTAGGCTGCGCTTGTGGAACACATCCAGCTAATACCATGTATTTATTTTGCTCCCTCGCTTTGATGATCGAGTTTTGGAAATGTTGTTCTGCCGGCGTTTTCACCGTACAACTGTTCAACAACCATAGATCAGCAGCTTCTTCAGTCTCTGTCATTTTTACAAATAAAGCATACATCAAATTACATTATCGTCATAGCGATAATCATAGATCTCATACTATAAGGTTATTACCAGGATGCCACAAAGTTGTCACGATGACAGTATACAGGGAATTATCTTTCCATTCAAATCGATTTGTGTATAAAGCCAAGAAACAAACACGATGGTAGAAGCTTTCTAGCACCTTCTTGCTGTAAATTTCTTTTTCAAACATGTCTGCCATCTCAGAAATATTGCGTAATAGGCTATTTTTCGCTTCGGTCGAGATCTCGCGAGACCATTAAATTTGCCTAGCAACCGGTTGCTAGTCATGGGATACAGGTCAAGCGTTGAATCAATATAGTGCTAAATCGTGCGTGCACCTAGTGTCGTGCATTAAATTTCCGAGTGATTTATTGCATTTGTTTCACGTTTTTGATCATGGCTGACTTCGACAGAGTGACCGTGCCACAGCTCAAAGACTTGCTGCGTAAATTCAGCATTTCAAGAATATTCTTCTTGCAATTGCTAAAGCTGTGCACGATTTGGAGCTCGAGGAAGACCTCTAATTTTACGCCATGATCCTAAAAAATGAGCTTGCTTCAAGACTTAAAGTAGCAAACTTGGTCGCAATTTCATCGATCCTTTGAAATTACCAGGCTACTCTATAGTGATTTCACGAATGTTCCAGAATTCGGTTTGTCCGATGTTTTAATGCATTATCGGTCCGACTATGGCCGGAAGAAGCTTTGGGCCTACAAATCGTGCGAAGATTTCAAGTTGTTTGACAACGGGCATGTTTAAATGTAAATGCATCACATGTCAAAGGCACATTTCTGCTACATTCACCATTACTAGCGTGAACAGCATTTGAGGTTCCTAACAAATATCGGGAAACAGCCGATATTGCATGATTCACACACTAGTTCACATGAATAACAACAATCTGTCGACACTGCCTAATACGCACAAGCATCCATACAAATAACAGGAAACTGTCAATATTGCTTATAGTAAACAAGCATGCTTTAAAAATACATAGCTTGAAAATTCATAACTTTTCGAAATAGAAAGGAAGTTGAATAAAACAATTTTTAAAACCTGTTAGTATGAGTATTAAATTGTACAAGTATTAAATATTACAATTTAATTCTGCGCTTATCTCTTTGTCAGGAGAGGTATTCCCTAACTGTGGCAATATTGTTCCGAGGTAACAGTAATGTCAAGAATCTGGTTTTCATCGGGATACTAAAGTTAAGACAAGATGTACACTTGTGAGTTGTAAATAAAAAAAAAGGCCAATCCCATGGTAAACCACATTTTATTCGGAATCGCAAAAAAATACACGATCATAAAATTATAACAATAAATATTGAAACATGAAAACAAGCACGGTAAAGTTCCGATCAGTACAATTTGCAAAATAAAGTTAAACCGTATCAACAGGTTTAAATGTTTTCCGTCGTTTCTTTTGATTGCCGCTCAGCATTGTCCGTGATTTGAATATACGGCGTTCGACACCTTTCGCAATCGCTGTTGTTGGGTCTGGATACGACTCCGAAGAACCCTTTCCTTCCACAAAGTGCAGGAAAGAAGCATACATGTACATGTCCTGGATGATTCTGTGTCGACCAGAATTGTGACCCAACACTGGCCCGAGAACAGGCACTGATCCATCAATCGCACTTTTCAGACTGCGTTTTTAATTTAGGGAATCGCAAAAAAAAAAACAGCATTCATATAATTTTTGTACTGAAAGCGAGAATCACTCTTACATCCGTCGTAAGCGCACCGTTTGACTCCCATTGGGACAGATAATGTTTCGTTATGTGGTTCAAAACAAGTAGGACAATGTGGTTGCTACCATATTGAACCGAAAGCTTGACCTGTATCATGTGACTCAATTGGTTGCTAAGGTGCGTAAACCATGGTCACGCGTGATTTCGCAGCTTGCGAAAAATGACTTATTGTTCCATATTGGAAATTTACAAAACTAGGATGCGGATATTCATGCAATACCATAAAATTACTGTAACTGATGGAAATATTGTGACATAAAGTGTGTTAGCCAGTCCACCCACCAAATGGACTGGCAACTTTGGTTTAGGACTGGCAGCTTTTTCTGTTTTTTCCTATTGTTCTTTGATAATTTTACCAAAATATATCCAAAACCATCTACATGGAGTTGAATTGTTTTGGACTGGCAGTTGCAAATTCCTGGCTAATAGCCTGATGAGGTATGTAAAATAATCAATGATTCTATTCTATAAGTTCATGTGGGGTTTAATTTAGATGATTTCACTTCATCAACAAAAATAGCATAATTAAAACTTAGTTAAAAGTTATATTTCAGTGTTCTCACCTGTAATCTTGTAGCCATAGGAAGCTAACTGTCCTGCCATGTATTCACTGTCAGAATTATTATGCGAACATCCCCATGTTTTTACGTACACACTCTGACAGCCTGGAATGACACTGTAAAAATAAAACACACAGGTATAATATATTATGGTATAATATATTATAACAAACCAATGCCCATATTTGGACATTGAGTTATGCCATTACTGTACTCAAAAGAGACTCTTTTTGACCAAATAAAAAAAAACCTGTGTTTTAAAATGCATTTTCTTTTGGTTCTACACCCCATCTTTCTTGAATCTTTATAACATGATCACATTGAATTTGATAACAAAAAATCATGGAACATTTCTATAATTGCAGACTCTATCTATGCAACACCCCACACGCTATTTCACATAAATTAAACTCCTCATCCAGAATAGTATTAAATACTACTAGGTTCCTCAATCTCCTAAGTGCATACCTGTCTGTGTTAGGTTTCTCTTCTTTGATATGATTTTTAAATTTTTTTGCTCTGGGCACAATATGTTTCTTCTCCAAACGACGTTCAGGAGTGATTGCGTCTTCTATATCATCAATTTCTTGTGCTGACATCTTAAAAACAAAATGTTTTAGAGACCGTTTATGATGTGATCATTGCAATATGACACACGCATGCACCAACAAAAAACATTCATGTTCCTTTGAAAAAACTTCAGAGCAGCGAGTCAGATTCGCCAAGTAATTCCAAATAAGGAATGCTACATAATGAGTCAATGAAAGCTGTGATCTTTGAAACAGTGAGTAATGATTTCACGAAATGTCAACGTCTCAAATAAGGGTGATGATCATCGCTCACGCATAGGTGGAACAAGCATCTTTTATCAACAAAGATGACGACTTTGATTTTTGCGAACATCAACAAAAAACAAACTCTACAATTTTTTAAATAGGTAATTACTAGGATGATTGGAATGCATTGAAGGACTCTAAGGAGTAAAAGTCTGTATTTATGTTCACATCGCGATCAGATTAAAATTGGCATTCATTGACGCTGGCAAGCAGGAGAGCACGCTGGGTTCTGTGAAAATCTGTTTATCCAAACAAATCTTTTGCATGCATGGCGCAACCTCCACCGCCCTTATTATCGAAACACAAAAATTAAACTTGCAGAAAAATAAAACCATGTTTTATTAAAACTACTTTTTGAAGTCTGCATACCATGTTTATTTGCTGTTCATCTTTTTCATTATTAGTTCACCTTTTGGTTTATTCACTGGTTTGTGTCAACTTCCAAATTTAGTATTCAATATACCAGAACAGTCTTCGCAATCAAATTTATCTGTTTTATTAAATCACCTCTGTCACTTACAGTAAATACATCTAGAGTAATTATTACACATTCTGGCACCTTGATGCACATCAATTCTGCACATAAAAGACGGAAATGTTTTAAAACATTGTTTGCGTATGTCTTATTTTATTATTGTATTGTATTGTATTGTAGGTAATGGGAATTGCTTCTATTAACCAATGGAAGCATCTTCTGCGGATTTGAATGACGCGTGGGCTCCATGAAAACCATTTATTCCTCCTTGAAATTCACGTTAATTCTTTTTGGGGTAATCAAAAAAGTATTATGATATTAAATGTCAGTGTCTATTGGTTTTTAATTACTGTTATTTCGAGTTATTATATATATATTTTTTAAACTTGCACGCCATCATCTCTCGGACATCAGTGTAAATACTGGCCGTAAGATAGTTTCTTTTGCACCCCACCCTTGACCCTAACTCTAACCCTCACCCCAGCCCTCCAATTGTACGTGTCTCGTCTAGATAATTATGATAGATATGTGTCCCTATGAGCCCCTCCTACAATTAAATCGGGGAAGGTGCAAAAGAAGCTTCTTCCTCATCCAACATCTTATGCATGTTACAAGTTGGTTGCATCACCAATCGTCAGGTCAGATATGATCAGCTGTTTTCGAGAGTTCACAGGACTGAAACATACCGGCGTATTATGAGAACACTAGCAATGGTCGTGGTCTAACACGTAATCACAGATGAAACAGTTTGTATCATACCTTGCTCTCCTAGAAATTGTATTCACATTTCCTGTATAGTCTTAAAACAACACAAAAATGGTGTGTACACTATAGCCGACGTAACACATGTGCTTTGAAACGAAAGTCATCAAACATGGACGTTTAAACGTACATGTTGTCCACGGAGGGCGCTACAACCATAGACGTTCCTTTTCCTGCAAAACTTATTGACCTTTTAACGAATAATATTGAATGGAAAGCTGTATATGAAAATGTTACGTATTCTTATGCGTCCCAGGTTATGTCTACAATGGAATTCACATAAACCATGGTAAAATCTGGCACGAATGTATTTCAATTTGTGAGATGTAGGAATGAATAAACACGATTTAAATTGCAATTGACAAGATGCTTTAGGCACAACGAAAACACAGCATTGGGGACACGACGTTAAGCAGGCTGGGTCGCGTCATAGGGTTAAAACGGCAACCTCAGTGAATCACGGGCTTCATTAACCATTCGTAAAACGATATTTACTATATACAACTGCACATTTATTTTTTAAATTCATTCTGCAACCGATTACTTGCAGCTACACACATCATATATATGGAGCTGGTTATTTTGTATTTCTATTTGGGGACATCATTTCCCACCTGTAATTCCCGGTGGTCAATTCGACGAACGCTCAGTGTCCTGGAGCTATAGACTGATTAGTGCATGCATTGCGGGCCAATATTACTGTATTCAAACATCGTATGCGATTATATACTCAATATGGCCATCAGGCAGCCACTTTTATTTTCTTTATGCACGTCAGGTTTCTCTGGAATGCAATGACAAGTTTAGACAGGTCACCTTCGGATTGACGGTGCAACATGTTTAATTTATATAGTGTCATATCAATAGAGATTATTACAGAAATGCATTATGGGGTTAGTAGAGTATTAAGGTAGACAGGTATTTTAATTAGTTAATTAAGAAACCAAGATGACCTTCCTTGTCCACAAAACTATATATTTTCGGAAAGCTTATTGTATGAATTTTAAAATTTTGTTAGTATTTTTTTTATGGACACTGTAGTTTTAAATATGCACAAAAATGTGCTTTTTTTTGGTCAAAAGTGATTTAATAAAAATTAGCTCCTAAACCATGCTTCTGTTTCCTGTCAAAATTGGTTTATGGGTACATCTGTTTACTATAAAGAAAGTGCCGTCTTGAAAACTGTCTACCAATTGTCAATTTTGCAGGGCAGTAGCCCAAATTTCACTACTTCAAGTTTATGCATAAATTAACACCCAGGCTAGTTGTCTGTACGATTGTTGTAACACTAAGATAAACACATTGTCAATCATTTGCGAAAATTTCAAAACAAAAGGTCAAAGCGTCTAGGAGCTATTTTTCTGGGATGTGCACTAACAAGAAGCTTGAGATAATTGGTAATTTGCATAACAATTCACTCAGTAAGAAGTTTGCTCATAATTAAAATGGCTGTAACAGTTCCAAATTTAAATGTATTATCGTTTTGTTAAAAGTTAAATATAGTGCATAATATGGAGATCCCGTCATTTCTTTTTTCACCATGTTTCTTTTTTATTATTTATGTACAGCCTTGCTAAATCTTACTAAGCATTCAAAAGAGAGAATAATTGCACCTGTTATCTATATTTTAAAATCGTTTTTTCAGTATGTTCCCCTATTCACAATTCTACTGTTTGAATAATAAAAAGCAAAAAAAAAAAAAAAAAAAAAAAATTCACTCCCAAGTGCCCTCGAACCTGCATCTCTACATTAAAGGCTTCGGTATGCGGTTATAAACAGTACATACAACAAAAGTAAATAATACTATCAACGAATAAGTAATGTATCAACATAATGGCACAAGTCTATATCGGGGAAGTTTAAGACAGATAATTGCCACGTGATAATTTGTTCTATATAACAATTATGAGATTATCAATATTTATACAAATATAAAACGATTTTTGTTATGCTAACGCCGCAATAGTACGCAATTCTTGAGGGGTGTAGGTCATTATAAATTCACGATATTCATGTCAAGTAAGACATGTTATTCATTTTTCATTTTATTTCCGTTTATGTAGAGTTCGATTTCAAAGAGCGAATCACACGAGATAGTTTTTATAAAAATAAATAAATTAAATTAAATTTAAGATGATTGTGATATGTAAGTGCCTTTACCTATACCTTTATTAATCAATCTATTCAATCAATTAAAGCGCGGTGGTCGTCGCGCAGCGCGTGTTCGAATTTCATGTAAATAAACAATGTTTATTTTACGCGCGTTGTATACGTCGCTGTGAGTCCCATATCGAACAGGACGCGGCACGACGACCACCGCCCTTTAAACTTTATACTATGGGTTACTTACACACAATACGCTTATTAACAGTAAACGAATACGCCTATTAAGGTAAAAGCTAATTATATGGATTATATCTTGGAGAATGACCTTGGTCTTATTTTTGGGGAATATCCACATTCATTTGCAGACTCAGCTGCTCTGTTTTTGTTTTCAAACAATGCCTACGTAGGCAATTGGGGTAATGCGGAACTGAAATCAAACCCTTCCATATGAGGATAATTACTTCATTCCAATTTCCCCCTGACATTGGAAGTAGGGATCAAGGTTTTTTAACGTCATTAGCTTTTTTTTTTATATTGTATGACACATAAAATCAACGTGCATGAGACTCCCAAATCACGCGCTGCAACATGGGAAATCATGCACAGGAGGTTTCGTGAATCAAGGTTATTGAAATTAACTAGTGATTTTTTTTTACTATACTGCATTTGGACAAATAAAATTTACTGTAAAATACTTTATTTTCACTTGGAATTAACTTTCGCTATTTTCGCTGAAGGAATGATTCAGTGAAAATAAAATCCAGCGAATATACCTTTTTTTTTTTGAACTCATCAATAACCAGTGAAAATAAATTCCGTACAAAACACCCAAAAAGTCTTTCCAGCGACAATAAAGTATTTTACAGTATATAGTTTATTGAGGCACGTAGGGAGTCAATAAACGCACTAGTTGCCCCAGTGTTGAGGGCTCACTTGTCAATAGCCCGTGTGTTTGAGACGTACGAAACTCTGGTCTGCGTTCCTGGGGTCGATTCATCCAGTATTTCTGTAGTTTAACCGTAGCCTGCCAACGGCCAAGTGGGTTGAATTTACACACACCCCGCGGCATCCATGCAACTAACCGTGACTGATGCAATCAACATTACATATTTTGGGGCAATACTTATTTAACAGTTTATTCGGCATTGGGAATACATTCAGCGGCGAAAATAATTTCAAAAATGTGTTGGTTAATCGATTTTTTTGAGCAAAGAAAAACAAAATAACTGTGGATTAGGCAAAATCCCGAATTACATGATTGGAGTGGTTAGCTAGAGATGATAGCGGAGTGTAATTACATTAGAAGAAATAATCTAATATACACATGTAATCGGTATTACGTTACCCTGGCGTCTTTATTAAAATTTCGTTAATATGTAGTCATATTTTCAAAGGTCAGCCAGTCTCATTCATTTGTGGTAATGCTACACAACCACATATTGTCGTGTCGTTTAGTGACATTTTAAATAATAAATCGACCGCAGAGTCTGTATTCTGATCATTGTTTCTAAATAAATATATTACTACTGTGGCTATAAAATTTCGCATGGAATATGTATCATGCTCAATATAACAGAGTAATGCACAGATCGAAGCGAACTCATAGCGTACAAGGTTTCCATGGAAACAGGATATACTTTTTCCATCATTGTAGCGTTATGTATTTTTTGGGGGAGAAGAGCATTTCATATATGAGCAATAAAATTCAACGATGACGATAACCCTAACTAGTTTAAGTCATTAGTTAAACAGTTAATATTGAAAAACATTCATTTGACAATTTTGGAAACTTCAATGTATTGTGTGTTATTCTCCTTGTCCAATAATGAATGTAAATAAAGCTGCAAGCAGCATTACAGATATCCACCAATTAGCTGATTTGCGTTATCATAGTTACCAAAAGATGATATTAAACATATTCTGTGCAAAGATGGTTGAAGCGACAAGAAGACGGAGATGAAGATGTTTGCCTTCACCCAGCATGCAGAAAACACTGCATGACCAATCACGATGATATTGTCAAATGATAATGCACTTGTTCCAAAATGTCAGACAAATTGATTGCGTAGTTTGTGAGAAATGTATACCCGGAATTTTTAAAAATGTCATGTCTTTTTCTCCGTAAGTTCAATATGAATTATTTATTTACCTTTTAATATCAGGTGTAATAATTAGTATTGTCCATTAGTTCAGAGGTATATATAAATTTTATTTACTCGTACTAGTCAAAAAGATCTGACTAGATTAGCTGTTTAAGCTATTTACAGATTCCTTTTATTCAAATTATTTTCTTTCCTTTGTTTTTGTATTTGTAGTTGAGTTGATCAACATGCCAAGTAATTCTTGAAAAAGTATTTGAAGAACATATTTATAAATCGTTGGTCGTAGATGTGTTTTCAAGCCCACTAATTCGCTACTATTCACATTGTAAACATCAGACACAGCCCATTCTACCACTTGTTCATGTAACCAATGGAATGTTTTTCATAACACAGGAATCAACCGTAAGGCGCTTAACACCATTCGACTTAAAGTATGAAAATCTCGATTACTTCAAAGGAAAAGGCACAGCTGTAAGGTAAAATACACAAACACAATTCTGCTGATACAAACAGCAGTAGAGAACGCTCGTAGTGACTCTGGGGGAAAACACTTATACAAGTACATTTTTAGTGATTAGTTTTCAATTGAGAATTCACTGCGATGGATGGACGAGCTTACAGTATACAGGAAGTCCAATAAACTCTTGATTCGAATTTCCCGTCTTAACTAATGTATCACTGCAGAGTGGAATGTTTACTAAAATGTGAAAATCGAGAGTCCTTGAATTTTGTTTGCAACTTATCCGCTCGTCTGTCGTCTCTATAGTTAAGTAGTGTGCCTTTGGGATGTTTGTATTAGTGTTTTATTTCATAACATCTTATTGCGCTTTTTTATTTGACATCACATGACCATTCTATTTTGATCACATGAGTAATCAAGATTGCTTTTCTTGTC